ATACAAAATATTTTTGTACAAATTTTTCAAAGAGAAAAAATGTTTTAAAAGTTGCTAGATTATTTACAATGATGTCTTTCCGCTCATAATATACCATTTTTATCTGTATAATATATATATGAGCGATATCTAGTAATATCTGAGTGTGATCCGCACACTCAGTGGTTATTACACACAGTAGTTTTTTTTTTTTGCTAAAAGTTATTACAGATACAATAATATTCGCCTCGATCATTACAGAGCCGCCATATTAATCACACGGCCGCATGTAATAATCACACAGCCGGCAGTAGTTCTTTTTCGTAAGGGTAGGGAGGAGAAATTTCCGAGAAATACTTCCCCTGGAGCGGAACGATATGGTGCACTCCTCTGTACCGATGATACATACTGACGCGGTTATCAATGATACCGACAGTCATATATTACCACAATATTATCACGAACATTGAAAAGATTACTTCTGTATTGAAAGTGCTCTGTACTGTACATACATTTATTATTTATTTATACATATATACAGGGTGTCCGGTAATTACCGTATCACCGTTCGTAGGCAGGTAGAAGAAGTAAAACTGAGAGTCAAAAAGTCCTGAACTATTTTTTGCTATTACATATAATAAAGGAGTAATTATTGAATAAATCAAGCCAATCAGCGTCGACCTTTAGCCGGGCGCACGTCAGCGCTTACGCACACCAGGCGCGTGGTTCAATTTTTTTTTTTTTTTTTTTTTACAAGGGGAAATCCTTTATGGATACCCCGGCCTGTAAGGGCAGACCAGGGTTATGTGGGACTTACTCCCGAAGGAGCGTACCCACTAAAACCACCTTGAGGCTCCTCGTGCGCTCTGGGAAAGAACCTGGAAAGCCGGAAGGCTATAACGTCCCGGTTTCCCTCCCGCGCCTGGGTGCCAGTCACATGGCACCGCATCCCCGCGACGACAGAAGGGAGCCTATCCCCTTCTACCGACTCCTGTGTTCGCGTGCAATGTCCGAGAAGGCCCTCACCTTCCCGGACTGCGAACTTTGACTACCCTCTCCCCCGCCCGCTGTGGGGTAGTCTTAGAGACATCCCAATGAAGCGAAGGAGAGGGCGAGTCCAATCCCTCTGCGCTAGAATCGGGGATTCAGTCCCCGATCCTTAACCGGGCCATAGGCTGACCCTGACGCAGGCGCTCCGCGTCCTTCTTAACCCGGAGCACCTTCTCGCAGAAGGCGAGGAAGACGAGGCGCGTAGTTCACTGACACTCGCCCGGCTAACGGTTGGCGCTGATTGGCTTGATTTATTCATTAATTACTTCTTTATTATATGTAATAGAAAAAAAAAAATAGTTTAGGACTTTTCGACTCAGTTCTACTTCTTCTACCTGCCTACGAGAGATATTACACTAATTGTCGGACACCCTGTATATGTATATACCTATACATATATAAATATATATTTATATTATGTATATATATTTATATATGTATATATATTTTCAAATTTAATTTTCATTGTATATTTTTTTTTTGTTATTTTTACGATATTAAAAAATGCATAAATGCGGAATATTCTTCTGATATTCTTCTGATGATTTATTTATAGGCACTAATATGACAGAGGCTAAGAAACTTTTAGATGAATCCGGATTGTCTATTCTTATAGCGAGTGATTTGGATGAAGCAGCAAAAAAGGCAGTAGCCTCTGTAAAGGTTTAAGTAATCAATATGATAATATACTGTCGACTTATCTTGTACAAGACTGGAATTTGGGGATTTGTATGTAAGGGAACACTCAAAGCTCATGTCACATCAACACAGGATAAAGAAACATTCTTTACACTGACTTTTTTTATAAGAATATAAAAAATTTTATACCTTTATACTTGCTTTTTTTGCGGTAGTATTTGGAACAGTCACATACGGTTATATATCTATCCAAAATACTAATATATAAGTAATATATTGTTGAAGTTTCATGTTTTCGAAGATTATTTTATTTGTTACAGTTGTAGAAAAATGTGCTATAATGTTACTATTTCAAAGTAATCAAATGTGCATTAAAAATTTGTAGAAACACACATACATGCGATATATCTAACTTGTAACATATTCAAAAATCTATTTTTATACATTTATTTAATATAACATAAGAATTACAGAAATGATATTCTCCATAAATTTAAGTTTCTGATTTCATTTATTTTTTATTATAATTCCGTACAAATAAATGTCGGTTGGTTTTCTTTTTATTGAATCATATGTGAGGTGTATACAGAATATAATTATGTTTTGTTCATTTTTATTACTATAAAAAAAATAAAATAAAATAAGTGTGTTAGTTGAAACTAACGGCAATTTTAACTGTTTTGCATTACATGCATATCCAAATGTAAGATTATAATAGTTTATTTTTTTATTTTTCTAATGTTGTGTATATAAATATAATACATTTGGTTCTTATTAGATATAAACTTAAACTCTTTTATATCTAAAAACAAAGAAAACAATTGTACTTAAATCTCTTTAATACAACTGTAAGTTTTTTTGTTACATAATTATTTGCTTATGTAAAGACTTGCGACACCTCAAGTTTTATTATTCATACATTTAAAATCTTGCGTGTTTTGTTACTGGATTTAACCAATTATTGCAATAAAATGACAGATGTAAGTATAAAAATGTAAAAAAATTAATTTTTAGATTTCCAATTTATATATTACTATAATAAAACATGACAATAATAAAAGAAGAGGTGTTATATTTGCATTGAGATGTTATAAAAAAACAAATGCTGCCATATATGATTCGCTCTCTCGATGTCGTGCAGTTATCGCTTAGCTGTCCATCGAAGGAGTTTTTACTTATAAAGACTCAGTGACCATATATGGATTAAAACGCGACTATGCGCGACTTTTTCTTGCCTTTCATATAGCACGTGTTAATGGGTCGTTCTTTTTATAGACATATTGACCGATTCTATAACATGTTGAGGAGAGCAAAAAGAAATGCTCAATTTAAAAGTGAAAGTTTTTCTGCACTTGAAAAAGCAGTCTCTAGAGTTAAGTTAAACTCTTTTTAATAATGTTATTATCCTACTTCTCGCTCTGTGAACATTTCAGAATTCGAATATTAATCGTCTAACAAAAAATGTAGAATTATTATTGATCTATAGCCAAATTCTCTACTTTTTGTGAAAAATGTATATTTTATAACGTGATTAATTGAAGAAAATAAAAAATGATTCAAAATTTGATGGACGAATGTTAAAAAGAAATTTTATTTTGATGTAGAAAGTTTGTACAAAATATATTATAAGTGTAAGAATGTTCGCGTATAGTCGTATGTACTTAATTTGTACTGAAACGCGACTTGCCCGAGAAGAAATTTCCTCCGGGAAGAATCATTTGCGGAAGCAACCGCTGAAACCACTATTGCGGCGAAGACCGATGTTCTCTTTGCAACATAATATCGCGACGCATAGCGCGTAACAATGACCGTTTTGGTTTTCTTCTCAGTGTCACGCTAGCCAGCAGACAACTGACTTGTTTCACTTTGTTACTTTTATATACAAATATAACGACCCGTTTCTCTCTCATACGCGTGTCACCATCTCGAGACGACAACGAGAAGACCGCGAGTTTCTTCGACGCGTGTGTGTGTGGACGCGCGCGTATATATAGATCCTCGCCCCTCGCATCCTAAAGGGAGCGGCGAAAGAGCGTGTACTATTCTTGGACATAACTTCACGAATAACTTCTCTTTCGATGTGCGTTCGACTCCCGGTATACGAACGGTAAAACGTCAGTAATCGTCTGCGAATCGCGCCGTGCCGATCGAGAACGCCGTGTCGATTTAATCTCGAAGAATGCTGCTCTGATGTGCGCATGTAAAATCCGCACCGGTACTTGGCTCTGCTTGCACTGACTACTATTTGGCAATTAACGCAATCAACACTTAGTTTTTAAACATATATTAACCGATGTCACTCAAAGTAGAAGTAACAAAACACTACTGTTGATGTTTAATATAAATTTGTTATTTTGACATTTCTTCCGTGAAACACGATCAGTTGTTTTCATTCAGAGCTAGTAGATTAAACTCAATGTTTTATCTTACTTTATGCGTGACATATTATCTTATGCGTGATTTTGACGTGTTAACTTTTAAACAGTAGATTTAAGTAGTTAGAAAAAACAGTTGAAAAAAATATTATTTTGTTTTTATATTCTTTTATTATATATCTGACATTAAATAATTAAAATGCGCTAAAGAAAAATTTTTTAATTAAAATTTGCTCATAAGTTTTCACAAAATGTATAAAAACAAGTTTTGTGATATTTTTTAATAATTTTATAAATTAAATATGTGAACAGTTTTATTTTTAGTATTCTTGCCGTGTTGTGTTCAAGTATTTTAATCAAACATTTGGTTCGAATCGAATGAGTTGTGCATCATGTATGAAAGAAAAACATGTCTCTAACTTATTAAAATCGACTTTGCTCTAAAAAGATACAAAAATGCACTATTACAATATATAAGAAAAAAATTAAATATAAATAAGAAAAAATAATACATATTTTTTAAACAATACATAATTTTTAATAACATAAATTTTAGAAGAAAATATATGTTTTATTATTTTTGCTTGTTATATTTTGTAGCTAATAGAAAATCAGTAAGAAATATCTAACGACTGAACGATCAAGTTTGAATGTTGAGAAAGTAATTTTTTTTTTTTTTTTTTTTGATTAATTTCAGATTGTTTACGATAATTTATTAAAAGAATAATATTTTTATTTAAAATGTTTATCTGTATTATGTTAATAATTAATATTTGGTAATCGTGTGTGACAGCTTAGAAAGTATATACAAATATTTTACATATAAAACATAATAATTATTATTTTAACATCTATGATTTGATAGAATTGTTCTTTTTTTATTTTAAGTTTATTAAACAATTAAATTATTTAGAATATTTAAATTGTGTGTGCCTATATGTATATATTTCTTCTATGTATATAGGTTTTGGTTTAAAACAGTATAAAGTGTTTGTCTCGATATAGCAAATTACAAGTGGTAAACTTCTCAAGTTCGATGATAAAATTTTGATAAAACTTTTGTGATTTAGTTTTAAATAAAATATTTTATCTCTATCAAATCTCTTCTTCTTAGCTTTGAAGTGCCGCGATAAACAAATCATATTTTAGCATCATCACAGTAACAATGTCTACATATAATTTGTAAATAATTCATGAACAATACAATATTATACATTTACAATATTATACATTAAGTTATATTATACATTTTTTATTGCTAATTATATAGATTTATATCTACACAGATTTAACGATCATAGGTGTCTACTACTAAACGTTTGTAACACCATGACTGCATTTGAGGAGCGCGTTATCAGCGCTATTGTGTCATTCTATCTTTGTTTTATATCTAATGAGCGATAAAGATAGAATGATGCAATAGCGCAGATAGTGCGTTCACTGAACGCAGCTCATGTGACATAATGAACGTCTAATGGAAATTTGTATAAAATATTGTTTAGTATGAATACACGCACACACACACAATATATATATACAATATATATACACAGTTAGAAATATTCGATTATCCAAAACGTTAAATTTTGTAGAAATATAAATTAAAAAAGAGAAAGAGAGCTTAAAATATATCTTTACCAAAAAAATTTCTTAGTTTGCTTTTCAAGTACAGTTTGTTTTCTAATGTTGATACATTTCTCAAAATATATTAAAAAGTGTGTAAATAATGTGAATAAAACAGACGACATTATATAGCGACTCTAAATTATTACAAAAACAATACAACATAAAGATGTAAAGCTATTGGCTGGATTTATTGTTATTACTGTTGTTTTGTAGATACTTTCCACATTTTCCAAATTTGTGCATTTTTAATATCTTGTTTTAAAACCATTACGTGCAATTGTAAAGTTATGTTAAAATTATATTTTGAACCTTTTTCTGTTTATTAACTTAAGATTCTACACAAAGTTTATTTATTTCTTTGGGCAGCCAGATATTTATCAAATCAACTATAAACACATTAATAATTTTTAACGCAAATGTTTCTTTCCAGTAAATAATTTTGTGAATTAAACAATCTCTCTATTAAAGAAAGCTTTTTAAACACATTAGAGACTCTTTACATTTAGATTTCAGACAATGTTTTGTGCTTATGAAGTTCAACTCAGATTTAATATCAGACCTTGGAAAAAAGTCACGTATACGTGTGCGCGTACCAAAAATAACTTGGCATCTTTCTCTTTCTCTTTCGTCGTGCATTACGACTCATAATTTCACACACATATATCCGATCAATATCTATTACATACGCATACAAAACGTGATAGTTGTGTGATAAAAAAGTAACTTTACTTCTCGTAAATTTTATTTAAACAAAATTTTTTTACATATATAATGAGTAAATAGGCATATTTACTTCAGAAAAGAACATAATAGAACGTATAATACATATAAATAATATATATAAAAAACAACATTATATATATATATATATGTTTAAATTTTTATAAACATTGTAAAATACACTTAATCAACCATTAATTAATTAATTAATTAATTAATCACTCCTTCCTGGAGAATGGTTAAGCAGGCAAAACCTGCATGGTTTCAAAAATGTATTTTACAATGTTTATACAACTTTAAACATTAAAAACTTTGCAACTTATCGGGCAACGTTTTTTATACGTTTCTACGAAATCGGATCGCAACTTAAAAAGCGGACATTTCGACGTTTTTGCTACGTTACTATGACGTTTTAGAGACTTTTAACGAAACGTTGCTAAGTTTCGGAAAACCCGTTGCAGAAACGTTTTTGTGATACTAACGATGCTATGTGGGTGTTTGCTCCCATCGCCCGGGAGTGCGATGTGCTTTAAGATTCTTTTCAGTGAATAGAACTACCATATATAATATTTTTAGTATATATTATATATGTGTATATATATCATATAGAATCGATTTTAGTCGATTTAATTTTCATATCATAAGAAATGTGGCTATTATTTCCCGAAGTGGGGATCACACGCGCTTTATTCGTCAAATCAAACACTATTTTTGTGCAAAATTTCAAATTGATCGGAAGCAGGGATCATTCGGAAGTACACCCAAAATTGATAAATAATTTATGAATTTTATTTTTTATTATTTTAGTCGAGTTATATGTATTTTTATCTTTGATCGGATCAACAATGTTTTAATTGCAACATTTCACGCTACAGGTAAATCGTTGCTGTGACTCAAGTCGTGCCATCATCTTAGAACGGAGAGTTCTAATAAGAGAACATAATATTGATCTATCTCTAAAGAAGATTCTTCTTTTTCAATTAACGCATCCTGAGTATCCGAAATAGGTATAATCTCTATTGGTAGACAAACACGCGATTCGTTGGCAGATCGTGTCTTCTGTTTCGCATACACACACAGAAGTATATACGACTAATCAGCGGCATACACAGAGCAGGTAAGTTTCTAATACATATCTAATATTCGTCTTCGATAATTTTACAAGTGTGCGTACACACGAGTAGCAATGGACACAAAGTTTTTTCAAACAATGCTAATTATAAGATGTTGTCAAATAGAGTAAAAAACATAAAGTGGATCGACTAAATGACGCATATGTACGAAGGAGAGAGAAAGAGAGAGAGATAAACAGAGAGACAGAAAGAATAAGTAAGCGTGTGCACGTGTGTACGTGGATATTTGGAAAAATAATTAGATATATTAAAAATATATTTAATCTGACAATGAGATGTACAAATTGATTAAAATATAAACTTTAAGAACATTTAAGTACATTTTTAAATATGTTCCCCAATAGACAAATTGTGAAAATATTGCACAAAAATGACATAAATTGACAAAAAATTTCGCAATAATTGCACTAAGATGATTCACTATAACGCAACAGTTTTGTCAGGATAAAATTGTGTAAATAATATTTGTCACAAACTAGAAAAATCTAATTTAGAGTATAAATATTCTATAGTATTTTAATTCTTTAATGCATAAAATTATACAATTTAATATTTTTGACAATGTAATGCAGCAAAGACCATTTGGAAATGTTACAAATATTTGGATAAAATATTCATATTGTAAACAGAATTCAAACAAAATTTGAGGATCTAAAATAGCTCGCAAGTAGGTCTGAACGTTAAAAGAATAGATCAACAAATAAGATAGCATTCCACTTGTAAACACAGCAGCAGATCACGGCGTCGTATGTATGTATATTTGCTATTTGGAATAAATCTCCCTTGAAAATTTCAACATGCTTGTGCCCATCGCTACTCGTCGAGTTACCAACACACTCACCTCTCGACCTCGTCACTAACAGTACTCCCGACTACCAATACTCTGACTGGCAGGAACTAATACAAGGGCGTGCACCCCACCATTCTCGTACATGAGAGCGTAGCAGCGGACCGGCCGATAAAATGAATGAGAATGATAAGTCAGTTAAGTGCGAGAACTCCGCCGAGGAGGAGGAGGACGAGATGTTCGAGCGCGAGCTGGCCGAAGACGCGCAGTGGAAGCGAATTCAGCAAAACACTTTCACGAGATGGGCAAACGAACGGCTGAAGGCGGTAAACAAGCACATTGGCGACTTGGAATGCGACCTGTCCGACGGTCTACGGCTGGTGAGCCTCATCGAGGTACTCTCGCAGAAACGATTGCCGAAACACAATCAGCGGCCTACCTTCCGCTCCCAAAAGTTGGAGAACGTATCTGTCGCTCTCAAGTTTTTAGAGGACGAGGGCATTAGGATCGTCAATATTGGTAAGCAACTGACATGCGTAATACTTTGAGAATAGATTCGTCCTATCTTTCTAGGTTTTTGTTTGAAAAAACAAACAAATAATTGTTTGATTATGAATGTTATGATAACGTTAATGCGTGCGTCGATGATCAAAAATAATGAAAGAATAATATAATAATATAACAACCTTTACTCTTTTCTATCTATTTTGTGTTTGTTTGTGTGTGTATGTGGTTCTGGATAAAACACCTAAACAGTAATTTAAATTTTTTTAAAGTAATATTAATTATTAATAGCAATCGCGTGTGCATTTCTTTTTTTTCTCTTTCTTCTTTCTCATTATTTTTTTAACGGAAATTTAACTTTAAAATTAATATAACTCGTAAGCGTGCTTCCTGTTGATCTTATTGTTTCTTTAACAATTGTTACTCAGGAAGGTGTTCTTGACAACATATGTCAACCTTATTGAATTTTCTGGAAGTCGGTTTTTGGTATAGCCATTAGTGCCTCCAGCGATTTTAGCTTTATTGCCTCCACACTCTCAAAACGAGTTCCTCGTAGTGGTTTTTTGAGTCGATCGAATAGGAAGAAGTCACATGGTGCCAGATCAGGTGAATTGGGCGGTTGTTGAATGGTATTGGTGTTACTTTTGACGAGAAACTCACGAGAATTTTTGCACGAAATTCAGTTCTTTTGGCACCAATCTCGCAGTGACTCGCCTCAGACCCAAATCCTCACGCAAAATGCTCTGAACGGATCCGAATGATATGTTGGTGGTCTCAGCTATCTCCCT